GAAGAAGAAGAAGAAGAAGAAGAAGAAGAAGAAGAAGAAGAAGAAGACGACGACGACGACGACGACGACGACGACGACGACGACGAAGAAGCAGCAGCAGCAGCAGCAGCAAAAGAGACAGTCCAGTGAATGATCCTCAGGGAAGAGGAGGACTTTTTTATATTTTTAGTAGTATATATCATAATGAGTTTCATTATGATATCTTCATACATATATATATTTTAATCATATTCACCCCCTAAGGTCCCAGATCTCTTAGATTTGTCCCAGCATTAACTCCCCTGATCTTATTAAACCCTCTTTTACATATGCGTGTAAGTGAAAGGGCATAGAGTAGTATTGCGTGTTTAATGCAAGCTTTGGAGTCCTCATGATGCACAGGCGCTTATCTCTCCATGGCAGAATCAACAAAACCAGGCCTCTGAGCTTACTATAAAATGTTGCCGCCAGCGGTGGTCACCTAGTATACAAACCACCGATGTGAGAGAGTTTCTAGATAAAGTAATTGAGGGGGGAAGATCCGTCTGAAGTGTGAGTGATTCCATGCCATGGCCTGGGGTCCTAGGCTGTCAGAAAAGGAGAAAGTGAGCTGAGCACCCACATTTTATCTCTCTGCTTCCTGACCTGATGTAGTGTCACCAGCACCCCCACATTCCTGTACCCCACACTGAGCCAAATAAGCTTTTCCTTCCGAGGCAGCTTTCAATAGTCATTTTATCACAACCCCAAGGACTGTCTCTAACATCACTGTGAGAAACAGTCAACCTTCCTGCAGTACTAGCCCAGATCCATGAGCTTCCCCACCTCCTCGAGCTCCCTGCTCATAAACAGAAGCAGTTAGATGGAAACAAGGCAAACTTTCAATGCGCAATAGCAAACTTGGCAGAAGGCAGAGCATCTGCATCATTCTGAGGAGTTCCACATTCGTCCCAAGAGCAGAGCCCTCTGGCTGGGGGCAAGAATGAGACATATTTCTCCAGAGGCAGCCCGTGATTTCTTTGTGACCCACAGCCACGCAGCCATCTGGAGAGAAAAGGGTCTCCTTGGTGCCTATAATACCTTGGTTAAACATGCTCCTGGGATTTTGGTCCCTTCTAGAAGCCAGCTGGCTTCTAACTCAGAAGGCCATTATACACCACAAGGTCCACCAAAAATACCACTCTGGCATCTCTCATAGGTACAACCAAGCAGATCAACAGGTTCCATGCCAGGTCACCTAGTTCCCAATCCCTCTCTTCCATGTCTAAAATGTATCCTTCAAAAGGCTTTAGATCAGGGCTTCCCAACTACTTTAGAGGCATAGTTAAAATGCCCCCCACCCCGGAAATCAAGTTATTGTTCCCTGGATCTTTCCAGTGAAAGGCCCTTGACAGTTCTTATTAGGCCATACATTTGAGGGCTTAATCTCTCAAATTCTGATTGAGCCTGTCTTTACAGACACAGTGTTCCTGAGACACTGTGAACTTTTCTAAAACCCTGTCTTACTTGTTGTCAAGCCAATCCAGAGATGGTCCTTAAACCTGCTCCCCTTTGCTTCTGTGCAGCCAAGAGGCACTATGCTGAGGGATGAACTTTACTTCCATGCCCCATGCAAGGGATGCAGACATCTACTGACTGTCTTCTCTGGGTGGATGAAGGCGTTTCCCACAAAGAACAAAGAACCTCAGAGATAGCCAGCATATTCACAAGGTGTGGGAGGGCCTTCCGTATATGTGTTGCTTTTATTGGTTAATGAATAAAGAAGCTGCATTAGCCTGTGATAGGACAGAGTATAGCTAGGCAGGGATGGGGGTAAGGAGGAACTAAGCTGAACACTGGGAGAAAGAAGGCAGAGCCAGTGAGACGCCATGTATCTACCAGAGGGAAAGATGTGAGCTGCCAACTGGAACCTTGCCAGTAGGCCATAAGCCTTGTGGTAAAATATAAAATAATGGAAATGGGTTAATACTAGATGTCAGAGCTAGCTAGTAACACGCTTAAGTGATTGACCAAGCAGTGATTTAAATAATATAGTTTCTGAGTGATTGTTTTGGGTCTGGACAGCCTCCCTGCAAAACTCACAGAACATAGCATTTCTTGCTTTGGGTCTTTCCAGTCCCTGTAGTCTGATAATAGCCCAGATTGCACTTCCACTGTGTTCCTACCACCTGGCACCTTCAATCTTCTACAAAGGTAAAGATGGCTAGTCTGACTCTTGCGTGATTTCTTACCAAGCTTACACTGAATACTCAATAGTCTTGGCCCACTTTACTCTCATTCTTGCCCTTAAGACCACAAATTTATCCTTGAGGCTACCACTCAGCTTGACTCTTTTTATAATTCTTTATAGGGAATCTTTTCTCCAGGCCGACTTCTCCCTTATTAAATTCTGAGGTTCATTATCAATATTCATATTTTATATTCTGGACACAGACAATCAAAGCCATCATTGACTACCAGGGTATACACAGTCTCAAGCTTTACCTTACTTTTTCCAGGATTCATTCTTTTTTGTTTGTTTGTTTAGTTATAAACTGATTGGCCCATTAGCTCAGACTTCTTATTAACTTTTATAACTTATATTAGCCCATTATTCTTGTCTATGTTAGCCATGTGGCTCAGTACCTTTTTCAGCGAGGCACTCACATCTTGCTTCTTCTGTGGCTGGGTCAGGACCGCAGAAAGCAGAATTCTCTTCCCAGAATTCTCCTGTTCTCATTGACCTGCCTATACTTCCTGCCTGGCTACTGGCCAATCAGTGCTTATTTAAAATATGATTGACAGAATACAATTGTCCCACACCACTTCCCCCTCTTTTTTTTAAGTAACAAGAACTCTGAATCTAATATCCCTTGTTTAGCTTTTCTCCTGACCACTAGCCATAATAACTTGTAACCAACAGCCTAAACAAAGGAAAATATCCATAGTCCATTTTTTTTGGGAATGTGGGCATAGTTTTCCAGGTTACTTCCTGCTGGTTGGGGGCACTGATAATCTTATGGGGACCTAAAGAAAAATTAGAATTATGATCAAGTCCTGACTGGACTATCTGTGAGGCTTGATCATCTCAGGCAGCATCTTTAATCTGGTCTAGATGTAGAGCTCAGACATCTGGGCCATCTGTTCCTACTGGAGATTTCTCAGATGGTCTTCCTTGATCAAACCTAATTTTTCTTAATGAAA